AACATCTTTGAGGTCTAATCTACTTTTTACCAAAAAGCCAAGAATGTTCACAGTTGGTTAAAGAGTGAAAATTTTAGGGGCCAGAAGGTGGCGTGGAGGTTAGGGCACTGTATTCGACATGGCCGACTGCACAGTTGGGTCACCCTGTGCTCATGGGTGTGTGTCCCTAAAAATCCCAAGAGGAGACTGGAGGAGAGGGGATTGTGCTGCAGCTGTTCCTCTCTCTCTCTGTGTGTGTGTGTGTGTGTGTGTGTGTGTGAGAGAGAGAGAGATTTTTCTCTTTTCCCCTCTCTGTCTCTCTCTGGTGAGTTCACACACCCTATAGCAAAACTGAAACAACAACAGCAAAGTGGAAGCTTTAGGCATTCAGATGGTTTTGTCAGTGAATGGCAGAACTAACTCCATGACTGCTCACTCGGCTGAGTGATTTAAAGGACTACGTTATAGACTTCTTTTGCATTATGTACACGCAGTCTTCCAAGGAAATGGAAAGTTAGTCTCTGCTTGTTGCAACCATATTAAGAACTGCCTTGTCTAAAATAATTGATGTATTTCAGATCTACCCTTTGTAATAATTCTAGTACTCTTTTAATCATGTCTTGGGATTAGCAGCTGTCAGCGGATAAAAGCTGAAGCAGATTCAGTTACAGGAGTGGCAGCTAAGCAAGACATTTAATGCCTCTTTCACCTGTAGGAGGGAGAGAGAAAAAAGAGAGAGCTTGCCCATTATTTATGGAATTAGATGAACTTCGAATCTGTTTTCATTATCAGCAGAAGTTGTACTCTAAAGATAAAGGATAGGGGCTATGCTTACATACAATGTATTTGAGCTCTAAATAAAATACTGATTTATTTCTGAACTTTTGAGAATTTAAAAGAAAAAAATTTAGCTCGGAACTATGTTCACATTATATTATGAAAAATCACTCGGCATATATGCATATGTGCCATATAGCAAATCATAAATGTAAGAAAAATAGACTTGGGTTCAATTTTAGATACTGTTTAAAATGTCCATACTGGTCATAGAAACCCCAGGCTTTAAGTGTTTAAGAAGTTAGGACCAGCAGATGGCATAATGGTTACATCGCTGGACTCTCACCTGGCCCACTGGGGTTCGCGTCCCAGACCCGGCAGCTGGAAACTCACGCCGGGCGCATGTGCGTGCGTGCCCAAGATCCCGAGAGGAGAATGGAGGAGAAGGGATTGCGGTGTGACCATTCCCCCCCCGGGGGTGTGATTTCTCGCTTTCTGTCTCTCTGTCTCTCTCTGTCTCTCCAGCGAGCACACGTGCCCTATAGCAAAAATCTGTCAAAAAAAAAAAAAAAGAGTTTAAGCAGTTTACAGTCTCATTGAGGGACTATTCCTACTTGTAAAATAATGCGATGATAGTTCTTACTGTATAGGGACATGCTAATGGGTGGCCTAACTCACGTTGGAAGAAGGGGACAGTGGTCGCTTGCACCATGACTGACGTGGGCGCTGGGATTAGAGGACAAGAGTGGGGAATGCTGGGACACGATTCTCTGTGCTGTCCCGTGTGTCTTCCCATCTTTGAGCAGAGGTACTGACCACCTGGGTTCTGGGTACCTTTTCAATCAAGTTTCTACAGCAAACAACCATGGAAAATAGAAATAGCAAGGGTGAAGGTGGCTGGATCCCACACAGTCACCTGCATGGTGTGTGAGTCCTGGACCCAGCGGCTAGGAAAACATGCCAGAGGTATGTACATTCATGCACAAAATCCCGAAAGGAGGGAGATGGAGGAGAAGGGATTGCGGTGTGACCATTCTCCATGGAGGCATCTTTTCACTTTAATTTCTCTTTCTCTATCTCTGTTGAGTGAATGCACCTATTGGCAAAATTTTTTTTAAACGAAAAAAAATAGTGTCTTCTGAGGCAAAGGGTGAACACGATTATTCCCCATTATAAAATGTGCAGGCACCCTAAGGTCAAGTTCCACTCCAGTAATCCCCTGTGAGGGACTTGTTGATTGACCTGTGAGAGTTGATGAAAGATGGGGATTCAGATTCATCTTTCTGCAGGTGGATACCCAGTTTTTCCAGCACCATTTGCTAAAAAGGTTTTCCTTTTCCCAAAGGATTGACTGGTATCTTTTGTCAAAATTCAGTTGATTGTAAGTTTTGGGGTTTATTCTGGGGTCTCTATTCTATTCCATTGGTCTACCTGTCTGTTTTTATGCTAATGCCATGCTGTTTTGATGATCACAACTTTATAGTATATCTTGGGGCCAGGGAGGGATATGCCTCCCACTCCACCCTTCTTGTGCAGGATTGCTTTGGCAATATGAGGTCTTATGATTCCAGACAAATTCTATGCATGTCTTTTCTAGATCTGTGAAGAATGTCTCTGGTATTTTGATTGGAATTGCAGTAAATACGTAGATACATTTGGGTAGAATTGCCATTTGGATTGTGTTAATTCTTCCAATTCAGGAACATGGAATGTCCTTCTACTTTTTAAAATGTCATTTTCATAGTTTTCTTTGTAAAGGTCTTTGACTTCCTTAGTTAGGTTTATCCCTAGGTATCCTACACATTTTGTGGCTATGGTAAAAGGGATTCCTTTCTTCAGCTCCACTTTGTTCAACTTGTTGTTCATATATAGAAATGCTATAGATATTTTGATGTTGATTTTGTATCCTGCCACTTCACTGTATTCATTTATTACTTCGAGAAGTTTTTTTTTTTTTCATGGAAACATTTGGGTCTTCTAAGTATACCATCATGTCATCTGCATATAGAAATGAATAAATAATTTTTAAAAAAGAAGTTTTTGCCTTAGGGCATGTGTACTCGCCAGAGAGAGAGACAGAGATGGCGAGAGGGAAAGTGAGAATCACCCCTCGGGGGATGGCCATGCTGCAGTCGGTTCTCCTCCCAGGATCTTGGGCGTGCATGCACACACTCAGTGTGATTTTCAAACCACTGGGTCTGGGACTCGAACTGCAGCCAGCCATGTGGGAGTCCAGCGATGTAACAGCTACTCCATTTGCTGGTTTGTTTGTTTGTTTGTTTTTAGGATGGAAGAGACCTCATTTACTACCTTAAAATATTTGAACCTGACTGAGTCAGGCTCTGTCCTGGCACTGGCCCCATCCCGCCTGCCCAGAACTCCTGAGAGTGTGTTCATACACTCAAGGGATGCATGAGACCGGAGATCCCAGGAGCACACAGTGAAGAAGGAGCCTGGGGGAGGGGGCAGGAGGTGGCATGGTGATTAAGGATCTAGATTCCCACATGGCCAACCATGGTTCAAGATCTGAACTTGACAGTTTGAGAATCACACCAGGCATTTGTGTGTGTGTGCCCCAAATCCTGAGAGAACGAGAGGAGGGACTGTGGCATGGCCATCTCCCCATGGAGGGTGATTTCTGCTTTCTCTCTCCCTGTCTCTCTCTGGTGAGTGTACACACCTTATGACTAAAATCTAAAAAAAAGAAAAAAATGAGCCTGAGATCCTGTACACGGCCATGCCGTGGACAAAAGGGTCTATCATTTAGCACGACTGAAGGTGTTAGGGGACATCAAATGTTGAAAACAGAGACATACAGTGGGGAGCATCTGGTAGTGGAAACACACTGGCATCTTTTGATGAGGAGGGCTGAAGTGCTGGGCCAACAGCTTATAGGACGGGACTTAGAAACACAGAGTGGAAGGTGGTGTTGGGAACGTCTGGGCACCCAGGGTATGTTAATGGAATACGAATTCTTTTAAACTTTTTTTCTTTTTTTTTTTCTGGAGAGGTTTTTGCTATAGGGCACGTGCACTCGCCAGAAAGACAGAGAGAGACAGAGAGACAGAAAGTGAGAAATCAGACCTCTGGGGAAAGACCATGCTGCAATCCCTTCTCCATTCTCCCCTCGGCATCTTGGGCATGCACGCACAAGCACCCAGTGTGAGTTTAAGCCACCGGGTCCGGGACTCTAACCATGGTCGACTACATGGGAGTCCAGCGACATAGCCATTACGCCAACTGCTGGTCCTTGAATCCTTTTAAACTTTGAGCAGTGTTGTAAGTGTTCGGGTCTGATTCTGTATTGATGTATTTTTTTTCTTTTGGGAAAAAAGATTTCTTTTGGGGGAACATCACCTGTATTGAATTTTATTATCTCAAAAAATGTCCTTGAGGGAACCAGCAGTTAGCGTAATGGCTATGTCACCAGACTCCCACGTAGTTGACCGCGGTTCGCGTCCTGGACCTGGTGGCTTAAAACTCACGCCGGGCATGTGTGCGTGCGTGCCCAAGATCCCGAGAGGAGAATGGAGGAGAAGGGATTGCGACGTGACCATCCCCCGTGGGTGGTGATTTCTCGCTTTCTGTCTCTATGTCTCTCTCTGTCTGTCTGGCGAGCGCATGCACCCTATAGCGAAAATCTCTCCAAAAAAAAAATGTCCTTGAAATAATTATTGAATCATATAACGAGGAGCCTGACAGTGGTGCAGCAGAAATGCAACTGAACTCACACCGGAATGTCCCGGGTTCATGTCCCAGGGCCTCTCTGTACACGCCAGGTGTGCGTGTGCATGTGCATGTGTGCTTGTCATCTGAGCTGGCTGGGGCTAGGAGTGGATTACAGTAGGGGGACCTTGTTGGGGGTGTCTGTCTTTCTCACTCTCTGCCTCTCTCTCTCACTCATGGAAGGGAAAAATGAACAAGTTCCAAAAGTAGGGATAGTAACAGGTTTTGAAGCTGGCAAGAGTCACGCTATACCCTTTCTATTGTCACAGCGTTTGCTTGGTCTACGAGGCTTCTGTGTAGCTGTTGTTTCCCAGCGGGCTCTTGGCAACATGTCATGAGTGATGGTTACGCCGTTACCAGGTCTTCCACGTCACAGGCCGAGTAGCTTATTCTAGCTAAGACCCATCTCTTGTTACACTTGGGTTTCAGGCTTAAAGTTCTTCTGAAAGAATAACTCTTTGAAAGTAGCAATTGCTGCAACTTCATTAAATCCTAATGCCTCTGTTTCTCTCCCCTAGGACTCTGCAGCTGAAGCAGATAAAACAGATTGCTTGGTCGGAAATAGAAAAGCAGCGGCAGTGTTGTGCTGGATTTCCAGACCCTGCTCACCATGGAACCCATAACGTTCACGGCGAGGAGACAGCTGTCTCCTGACGAGGTCTCGGTGGGCTTCAGCCTGCAACTGGTGGGCTCCCTGCCGGTGCACTCCCTGACGACCATGCCCATGCTGCCCTGGGTGGTGGCGGAGGTGCGCAGGCTCAGCGGGCAGTCGGCCAGAAAGGAGCCCGGGGGCAAGCAGGTCCGGCTCTGCGTGTCACCCTCCGGCTTGCGTTGTGAACCTGAGCCCGGGAAGAGTCAGCAGTGGGATCCGTTGATCTGTTCCAGCATCTTCGAGTGCAAGCCTCAGCACGTGCACAAACTCATCCACAACAGCCACGACCCCAGCTACTTTGCGTGTCTGATTAAGGACAATGCCGTCCCCCAGCACAGCATCTGCCACGTGTTCAAAGCCGATGACCAAACAAAAGTGAGTAGAGGAGGGAATTGGGAAGATGTAGGTATGGCTAGACTGGTTTTTTTAAAACTTATTTATTTCATTGTATTTATTATCATTATTATTTGATTGGCTATAGGGCATGTGCACTTACAAGAGAGAGCAAGAAAAAGGAGAAAGCAAGCTGCCAGGTCTAGGACTCGAACCATGGTCTGCCATGTGGGAATCTGGTGCTTTAAGACCACGCCACCTGCTACCTCCCACCCCCAGCTGGATTGCTTTTATTGTATGGGGTTCAGGAAATGTATCCAAGTCTGTGTACTGAAGTGAATAAGAAGATGGGGACCAGCAGGTGGCGTGGTGTTTAAGACTCTGGACACTCACACATGGCCAACCGCAGTTAGAGTCCTGGACGCGATGCTTTGTTTTCTCACTTTCTCTCTCTCTGTCTCTCTATGGTCAAATGAAAAAGAAATGAATGAACAAATAAAAATTAAATAAATAATTTTGAAAAAGGTCAGGCTGTAGTGATAATGTAGATGATTTTACTGAATTTTGGGTTTATGGGGATAGTTTTTTTTTTTTATAGTTACTAATAGCTGACAGATTATAGAAATGATAAGTTTCAAAGATCAAACACTTGACAGAGAAACCAGTCTAAACCTATATATGAAAGGAGAAGCCCTGGGATTCGTAATAGTTAGGGTATATGCTCTAAAGCAGTGCTTCTGCAACTGAAATGGATGTTATGAATCCCCTGGGGATCTTGTTAAAGCTGCACATCCTGATAAGGTGAGTCTGTGGTGGACCCCGGGACTACGTTTCTAATCAGCTCCCAGCTGAGTCTGGTGTTGCTCCTTTGCAGATTGCACTTGGAGCAGGAAAATGCTAAATCAGTGATTGCCATATTTTAAAAATCCTATTAAGAAAGATACGGTTATTTATACACTGGATGAAAGTACCTCTCGCCAGTTTCCCAAGGCATAATCTTCACTCCGGCAAAGGTTCTTGATAAGAACAGTGGGTAGGAATCAACATTTGGATACGATCAGGGGTCCTTTTGTGTTTCTTTTGCCAACTTCGTGTTAGATCCAATTTGCTTGCTATTGCATTATCTCATGATATAGCTGAGAAAAAATAACCCAGGACACGGTAAAAGCTCTATTTTCCCGTTCATTGGTTCTTACGGAGTTATTACCATTATTCATATTTCTGTTCAGGCTTCTTTTAAAGCCACTTGCCCATTTTGGAGAGAGGCGTAGTTTAGATCAAATTGAAAACATGGTTCAGGGGACCAGCAGTTAGCGTAATGGCTATGTCGCTGGACTCCCATGTAGTCGACTGCGGTTCGCTTCCCGGACCCGGTGGCTTAAAACTCATGCCGGGCGCGTGTGCGTGCGTGCCCAAGATCCCGAGAGGAGAATGGAGGAGAAGGGATTGCGGCGTGGCCATCCCCCCTGGGGGGTGATTTCTTGCTTTCTGTCTCTCTCTGTCTGGCGAGTGCAGGCACCCTATAGCAAAAAACCTCTTAAAAACAAACAAACAAACAAACAAACAAAAAATGTGGTTCATAGAGTCGCTTCTCAGTTAGGCTCACGGAAATTTCGGTTTGTGCAATACAAGGGAAACAAACAAGCAGAGGTCCCCCAGCTGACCTCATGGGCTGAGGACTCCCCCAGCCACCCTGGGGCCCAGCAGGTCTGTGTGACTTGTCTGTCTGCCACGTGCACTGAGTCAGGATGTGTGTCCGTCCATATGGTGAATGTCAGGAAGGCCTTGGGTTTCGTATGTTTAAATTTAAAATAGAAATAGTAATACCAATATTTTCTCCATGGACCCATGAGTATGTACTCCAGGGCATACTTTTCTGGGTTAAAAAAAAAAAATCCTCATTTGGAAATTAAGATTTCTTCGGGACCAGCAGATGGTGTAATGGCTGTCGCTGGACTCCCACATAGTCAATTGCAGTTCGAGTCCCAGACCCAGCAGCTTAAACTCACGCCGGGCACGTGTATGTGCGTGCCCAAGATCCCAAGAGAATGGAGGAGAAGGGATTGTGGTGTGGCCATCCCCCCAGGGGGTGATTTCTCACTTTCTGTCTCTCTGTCTTTCTGGCGAGCGCACGTGCCCTATAGCAAAAACTTTTCCAAAAGAAAAGTTCCTAAAAGTGGATTATATGCTATTTTCATGTTGAATCTTAAGTAAGACCCGAGAAGACGGAGGGTGAGTACCAGCGCTCACACGTGAGACCTCAGTCATCTTGGAGCAACTTTTTATAAACGGGACACTTATAAAACTGCATAAGTAAACTGAATGGTGCTATTTGGGAAAATTCCAGGATGAATATGAAAGGCTTGAACCGTCGGTTCCCTAGCTAGCACTGTGTAAGGGCTAAGGTTCCTTGCGGGGAACTTTCACGTGGCACAGTTGTTCAGCATGTTACACTTTTCACTCTTTACCCACATCTTTTACAGCTCTTTCCCCACATCTTTTACAGTCTTGAGAGCAGGCTTCTGGCCAGCCACTGAGACACCTGACAGGAGAGGAGATTGGCAACTCAGTTCTGTAACTGGGGCCCCTGAGTCTTGCCCAGAGTAGAGAATTGGCCTTCTTCTGTGTGCTAAAAAGCCATAGATGAAATAAGAATGAGTTCTTCAGTTACTTGTGGCTCACGTCCAATTTTTATAAACACAGCTGTCATTATTCACAGTGTGGAATTGCTGTCATCACACCCATTTTAAAAAAGAGAAGTGTATAGCATAGTTACCTTCATCAGTGTGTTAGTGGGGGTTGGAAACAGAATGGTTAACTACCCGGGCCAGGAGTCTAACTAGCGTTATCTCTGCTGTGTTTTTGGGTCACCATGGGCTCTCGGTCTCACAGCAGAGGATTGTCTGCGGTGGGACCATGTGAACCTCCATTGTCATTTCTCTTAACGTTTTTCTTAATATTTGCTCAGTGAAATGTTCCTCTAGCTTAAGGGCTCTTCTAAGCACTGATGGTGTTTACAGGGAGAGGTGTGCTCTTACTGCCTGGACCAACATCCTCGAACTATGTTGGAGAGGAAACCTTTTTTTTTCCTCTATTTTTTTTTAAAGAGTTTTCTTTTTCTTTTCTTTTTTTTTCTATAGGACATGTGTACTCACCAGAAAGACAGAGAGAGACAGAGAGACCAGAAAGTGAGAAATCACCCCCAGAGGGGATGGCCACGCCACAATTCCTTCTCCTCCATTCTCCTCTCGGGATCTTGGGCACACACGGACATGTGACGGGCTTGAATTTAAGCCACTGGGTCCGGGACTCGAACCACAGTCGACTATATGGGAGTCCAGTAACATAGCCACTGCACCAACTGCTGGTCCTGGGGAGGAAGCCTTTTGATCAGCATCACAATTAATCTGTTGAAGAATGTCTAAGGAGAAAGGCATGTAAAGCAGTCACTTTAAAAGCATGTCGTGAGGGAACCAGCAGTTAGCGTAATGGCTATGTTGCTGGACTCCCACGTAGTCAACCGTGGTTCGCGTCTCGTACCCGGTGGCTTAAATCTCACGCCGGGCATGTGTGCGTGCGTGCCCAAGATCCCAAGAGGAGAATGGAGGAGAAGGGATTGCGGCATGACCATCCCCCCGGGGGGTGATTTCTCGCTTTCTGTCTCTATGTTTCTGTCTGTCTGGCGAGCGCACGCACCCTATAGCGAAAACCTCTCCAAAAAAAAAAAAAAAAGCTTGTCGTGAGATCGCATTTCCCATTGTAGGTTTTATGAAATATACTCAAGCTCTTTCATACAGAAAGTCTCTATCAAATGCATTAAATCAAATCAGACTTTTTGGTCTGAAACCCCATTTTCACTCTAAAATTATTATTTTTTGAACAAGTAGTAAGATTTTTTTTTAAAGATTTATTTATTTATTCATTCATTCATTCATTTATTTTAATTTTACCAGAGAGACAGAGAGAGAGAAGGCAAGAGAAAGAAAGTGAGAAAGCAAGCCAGCAGGTCCGGGACTCAAACCAGGGTCAGCCGTGTGGGACTGTCCAGCACCTTAATCACCATGTCACCTGCTGGTCCCAAGTTCTTCTATTTTTTTAAAAGTTTATTTTTTTTTCTTCTGTAAGTTACAGAGAAAGAAAGGGGAAGAGAGTGAGAGTGAGAGACAAAGAGAAGCACCCCCAACAGGTCTTGACCTAATGGCCCACCCCTAGCTTCAGCCCGCCCTGCATGGGTACAGGCCCAGCATATAGGGAGGGCTCCAGATGCAAACTCGCAAACTCAGAGCCTTCACTTCTGGGTCATCTTTTCAGTGTCGTGTTACTGCTGCCTCATCACCCGGCCCCGTCAAAATTATGGAGATTCCCAAAGAGCATTAGTTTATGTGGGTTATACCTGTTAATAATTATTGTATTATAAATCAAAACGGAGATATTGTCAGTATATTGATTTATTAGTTTATCTATTTCTGTAGTGGTTTTTACCTTAGGGTGCATGCTCTTGCTAGGGAGAAAGAAGACAGTGAGAGGGAAAGTGAGAAATCAGCCACCCCTCCGGAGGGGAGATGGCCATGCCTCAGTCCCTTCTCCTCCATTCTCCTCCAGGGATCTCGGGCAGGCACACACACATGTCCGGTGTGCGTTTAAAGCCCCAGGGTCTAAGACTCGAACCATGGTCAGCCATGTGGGAGTCTAGCTATGCCATCTGCTGGCCCCTTATTAGTTTATTTTTAAATAAAGTCATAAACCCTGTACAGGTGAACATAAATAACTTTTGTGAATAATAACTGTATTTTTCAAAAAATATTTAGTAATTCTTCCCCCTCCCCCCCAATCTCTTTTAATATCTGGATGAATAGAAGGCGACTGGGTTTTCATAGGTGCTTCTCCAGTTATTCTGTTGTGATATGTCATTTTGGTGACTATGTGATGAAAATTTGGCTTCATACAGATAAGTAGTAGAAAATGGAGAAATAGCCGAATAGCCTTTTTGGAAAGTTGTGGATATTCTCTCATACCACAACAACTTCACAAATTGTAAGTTC